CACACGTTTGGAGACAACAGCCAGGATGAGCTGCTCCATGCCTTTTGCAGGGATGGAGGTGAGGCTGACTGGCCTGTAGTTGCCTGGGTCCTCCTCCTTGCCTTTTTTGAAGACTGGTGTGATATTGGCTTTCTTCCAGTCCTCCAGCACCTCCCCCGTTCTCCAGGACCTTTCGAAGATGGAGAGCAGCCTAGCAATAACATCCATCAACTCCCGCAGCACTCTGGGGTGCATCCCATCAGGGCCCATGGATTTGTGGATGTCAAGTTTCCCTAAGAGCTCTCTGACCCAATCTTCCTCTACCCAGGGCAAGTCTTCCTCTCTCCAGGCACCTTCTCTGGTTTCTAGGGTCTGGGATTCCAGAGGGCTGCCCTTGGTAAACATTGAAGTGAAGAAGGCATTCCGTAGATCTGCTTTTTCTGTCTTTTGTAACCAGAGCACCCACGCTGTTCATCAGCAGACCCACGTTTTGCCTAATCTTCCTTTTATCATTCATATACTTGAAAAAGCTGCTCTTGTTATTTTTAACATCCCTTGCCATCCCTTGAAATACTTCTCATCCCTTGAGATACTTCTGACAGTGACTGAAATTTCACACACTCTGGAGGACATGGGTTGGGAGGAGCAGAAGAGCAAAGCTGACAAAGTCCAGTATAGAGAATCAAGGGAAGAAGAAAAAGGCTGAGCACGTGCTGGAAAATTAAACACACAACAAAAAAGTAATTTACTCCAGCATGCCTTTGTAAGTGCTCTTTAGGTTCTGGCTGGACTTTCACTGATATATTTGAAAAAGCTCTTCTTATTTTTAACATCCCTTGCCAGATTGCATTCCAATTGTGCCTTAGCTTTCCTCGTCACATCTCTGCATTCCCTGACATCATTCCCATATTCCTCCCAAGGAGCCTCTCCTTTTTTCCCACTTTCTGCATAGTGCCTTTTTCTGTTTGAGCATTGCCACAAGCTCCCGGCTCATCCACGCAGGTCGCCTGCCCCCTCTGCCTCCCTTCCTACACACAGGGATGCACTGTTGCTGGGCGTGGAGGAAGTGCTGCTTGAAAACTAACCAGCTCTCTTGGGCCCCCCTGCCTTCTAGAGCACTAGCCCATGGGATTCTTCTG